CCTATCAAAAGTCCACTGCTGAACATAGGCCTTCCCCATAGATTTGATGGCTCAGTGGCGCAGTGGCTTAGCATTGAGTTGCGGCGCAAAGTGCCGTGGGTTCGAATCCCACATGGAACAAGCATTTTATACATATAATAATGTATGGCCTGCAAATAATAATTATTACAGGTCTGGATGCATGTCCTTATGCAATTTATATTTGTAAACTGCCTCCACGATACAGGAGGAAATCCATGCAAGGCAAGAATTTTTTCCTAATCTAAGATATTGCATATTTGGCCATAAAGCTAAAAATCAATAGCCGCAGGCATAAGTGCAAAATAATTTTCATTTAAGTCATTAATATGTCAACAATTAACCAAAACTCTATCTTATCTTAACGACAGCGTTCTAGATAGATAACACGTTAGCCTAAAATGCCTATTAACTTTGGCTTATTGAAGTTGTGTATTGTATTATTCAGTATAGACTGACGCGGATATAGGTAATATCCAACTAATTGCACGCATCAAAAGTTAACAAATAGACAAACAATCTTAAAAATATTGTCTCCACCGAAAATTTCAAGAATGAATGGAACTCCTGACAAACTTGTATAATATTTGTAATGATTTTTATTATATACAAATTATTTAATTTGAAACCGATTTCTACGTGATAGAGCCATGCTGCAGCTATATCATGGTTGTAGAACGAATGGGTCGGCTCGACCGGGGAAGGACCACGCTCTCACAGAAAACCAACGTAAAATAGCAGCTTAACGCTGCTGTGTTTCGTATGGTGAGTGTAGAGAACCGGAGACCCTTTTTACTGGCAAAGAGGCATTCCATCTTAGTCCTCACGGGTGACAACGCATCTGCATTTTGAGTCTTTATTGAGGATAGATGTAGATGTTTATGGGTCACAGTAACCACTTACCATCAGGTGGACTGTGTGCTCGTTTGTCACCCGATCCTATAAAAAAAAACATCTTAAAAACATTTTAAAAAGCTGTATATCAACAAGACTTTGTCCAATAAAAATTATTAAACTTTTAAAAAAAACATTGTTTATACTCAAACGACAGTCTCGCAAACAACCTTTTATTATCTTTAGTTCATATCAGACTAAAGTAATACTTTACCTACTTCCTAGACAGCAAGTATTTTCTTTTTATAGAATAAAGCGAAAAACGAGCACACAGTCCACCTGATGGTAAGTGGATACTGTGGCCTATAGACATCTACATTTATCCTCGATTGAGAATCAAAATGCAGATGCGTTGTTACCCTTCATTCCAATAAAAAGTATCTCCGGTTATCTACACTCACCATACAAAACACAGCAGCATCAAGCTGCTATTTTACGTTGGTATTCTGTAGAGTGCGGTCCTACCCCAGTCGAGACGACCCATTCATGCTACAAGCATAAGATAGCTGCAACGTATCTCCCCGTAGTACTTTACCAAATGACGTAAGTATAACGAATATTAAAAAACAACTTATGTTGAAATTCCTCATCGACCAATTGACATAGTGGCAATCGTCTTCTCCACGCCTCTGTTCTACAAAGCTATTAAAGCACGTAGCTATCGCTTCACTCACCGTAGCTATACTCGTAGTAGAGCGCTTTGAAATAAGTATGTCATCGGGCGACGACAAACTTACATATTTTAACTATAATGTGTCGGTTTAAAAAGAACAGGTGGTAAACAAAATTAACAAGACCTTGCTAGCCAAGGGCATTGAATTATAGAGATTGTCCCAATTTACACAATCTAAATAATACGTGGTCTGCGTAGATGGATTCTTGTTTTGTATGAGTAACATGCGGTAATAACTTTTTTTTTAATAATTTATAATATTACATCTATTGATAGAACAGAAAGAAAATTTGTTTCTATACAAAGAAAATTTAGTTTTGCTGTAATATTTAACTGTTTTCTTAGAATGAGGGTGACAAGCAAGCAAAAGTACAAAATTTAGTAAAAGGACTAAAACTAGTAATTTAATTATCATATACTCCTACTCCCCGCGATATAGTGCCAAGAACGCTGGCTGCGTTTTCCTGCTGGATGGCTATACTTAACCTTTGAGCGAAAAAAGAACCAGCCCTCTTATCACCAGCAGCAACAACCAGTCGCGGATGGAGTTCCTTTGGGAACTTCACCGCACGTGGACTCCATGGACCGATAGTCTACAGCAAATGGCACAAATATGTAGTCATCTCTCAGAGACTCACATTTGCACCACTTACTCAGTTCAGCTGCCTTTGATGCCGCCCCGGCTCTAAGCGAGGTACCCCTGAGATGGTTCACTTCCCTCTTCGCCATTTACGACGACCACGGAACGATATGAGCAGTGGATATTCTTACACCGCCCCTGCACAGTTATACAAAATCAAAGCACACCTTAATAATAATAATAATACATTTTTTAAAACACTTATAGATTTTATAAATTTGTCAACGTCTGCCATTCACCCATCATGGTATTTGTCTACAGGTGTAAACATTAAACGAGTATCTTACTCGATATTACCACTACATTCTTTCACCTCGCATCTTTCTTTTAATATAGATTAAGAGTGACAAACGAGCACACAGTCTACCTGATGGTAAGTGGATACTGAGGCCCATAGACATCTGCCCCCATTAAAATCAAAATGCAGATACTCTGTCACTCCTGAGGATTAAGATGGAACGCCTCGTACTACCATACGAAACATAGCGGCATTAAGCTGCTATTTGACGCTGATATTCTGTGAGAGCGTGTTCCTTCCCCGGTCGAACCGACCCATTCGTGCTACAACAATTATATAACTTCAGCGTGGCTCTAATAATCTAATACGAAATTAAACGATTCACTTGGACTCAATCGGCACCTCAGCATGCAATACAATTGCGAATTAGTTTTGACACTATCAAAAGCACTTGTACATTATTCCGATTGCAAACAGCGACAGTCCACACCTGAACCTCGGGGACACAACTCAAATGTTTAATGTCAAACTATAAAGCGCCTTATTGCTTGCAAATTTGCACACGATACCCGACTAAATTTGAACACAGCACCGACACATACAACTTGTATTAGTTCAATGGCGTCTAAATTTAGCCTCTTTGTTCCGATCAGCGGCTTAATTGGTGATATATTAAATTGTAATTAAGGTTCCCTATTGTCGGAGGTGTGAAAATCTGGCGCCCGGGGTGTAACGATAAGTGTAGCGACTTGTTACTCGATGTGTCGTACGATCACCAGTGTATTTGGTGCCTTAGGTTTTGAGTAAGTCTGGAATAACTTAAATTCTAAACACAAAAAGGCACTAATATTTTATAAGGTCTCTAATGTACACTTAAGTTTTTTTTTCCACGATTAACATATTTTATTAATAGAAACTCGCAAGTTTATATCCATACATCTATCCATTACAGCCTATAAAAGTCCACTGCTGAACATAGATCTTACCCTAGTTTGCCTAGTGGGTGGATTATGCCATAGTTGCCACGTTTTTCAAACGTGTTGGCAACCGCAGATTTTTATTATTTTGAGTTGTAATCAGGAACATTCTGCTGCCCATGTGTTGTTTCATTTTCCCTCTGTCGTCTCTTACGGCACCTTCGGGACGATATGGGGTAGTGAATACTTTTACACCGCCACTACATGTTACTATATATTATTTAATAAACAATTAGAGAACTGCAATTAAACTTACACCTTCACAAGTCCACTGCTTAACATAGGCGTTCAAGGAATGCCACAAAGCACGGTCTTGAATCACCATCCATTGACTTGCTGTATATTCACCAGGTTGTCACTCCATCTATTGGAGAGTTCGCTTATCGGGACGAGGCTGCCACTCGAGAACTTTCCTTCCCCAAAATATTATTATTATATTCTTCATTTCAACTCATCACAAGCCTACTGCCAATAATACAAACGTCAGTTCCATAGATTGCCACAAAGCACGGTCCTGAGCCACCAGCATTCATAGATTTTCTTACATACCTCATATTGTCGTCACGTGCCTATATCTATAAATCAAATTTAAAATAAATTTATAAAAAAATTGCCAGTGAAATTTATTAAACACAAAACTAATTCAGATAGTGCATTAATAAATCGAATGAAAAAAAACTGTACTTAAATATTATCATCAGCCAGTACTACACTCTAAGGCCACACACGCATATAGCAATCACAAATTATTAGGTCAGCAATACATATTTGATAACAGCTTCTTTTTTTTTTTAAATAACATTTCTTCACGGCAATAGATACGTTGAATTAACATTATCAGGCCAAGCAACGGAGGGAGACCTTATCTGTTAATAGCCCAGCAAGGAGCCCCTCAAAGGGTTCAATCTCAATAAATTTATGAAAGGAATATTGCCAATAAGGACACCGGCATATCCTATTAATTAAAATACTTAATTAATTCACCTGGAATGGGTTTAATCAATTCCTTTGCTCTCAATTTATTAAGGGATAGCTATCGGGTGACCTCAGGCTAATTATGTCATCTATGTTTCTTTATTAAGATATAACATTTTATGCTTTTTATATAGATAACAACAACATATATATGTATATAGATAACAACGATAAATTTTCCAATTCTAAACATTGTTATCGTGTCAGAGACGGGAGAAATATTTTATTACATCAAAATTAGAGAAATACTCCTATAAAGTACACAGCTCTCACAGAATACCAGCGCAAATAGCAGTTTAATGCTGCTGTGTTTCGTATGATGAGTGTAGAGAACCGGAGACCATTTTTACTAAAAACGAGGTATTCTGATATTTAAGGATTACTTTAATCAAGAATGTAGCTATGTGCAACAGCATCTGCTTACCATCAGGTGAACTTTGTGCTCGTATGTCACCAACATTCTATCATGTGACGACAGTTATACCCTATAAGAAATCACAGAAGTTTCGTAATTATTTTAACTACTAATTATGATAATTACAATTCGTATGCGACATGCTTAAACCCCAATCTCTCTTGTTCTAGTATGCTCCGGTCGCTGGACCTGAGTTCTGAACGACCTTTGGACCGCAAGCCGGAACCTCTGCGATCTCCGCCAGCCCCGCGCGAGGAACGGAGTTCCGCGGAACGCGAACGCAGCACAGAACGGCGGGATACAGGTAAGTAATGTATCACCTGCAGTTGTTTGGCAGATTTTAATCAGTAACCATTCGTTACAATCATACATAGCTACATAGTCTAATGATCTATAGCTCTGTAGATCTCGTAAATATACTCTATGGCACTTATATTGTTGTTTTTTTTTAAATATAAATGTTGCATTGCAGTTATATGATAGAGGCTTTTATGAGAAATGTAATAAATTTAAAAAAAAAACTTTGATTATTTAGTTTTAAAAAATCGTTGCAGGAGTTGTCAATATTACAAATGAATCGATATATTTGTTCTATGTAATCACAGTTACTCTGACTCTCATATTATTTACTGTCTAAAATTGGTCAAGGTTATACTAAAGTTTCGCGTAAAAGTTAATACTCGAGTTGATCTTTTATTTTGTTAAGTGTGAATGTAAGAAAGATCGATGTACTCCATTTCGAGAGAACCAGAGCAAGCCGGACGAGGACGTTCATTCCAACGTCTAGTGCGTTGGAGACAGTTCGTGTCCTGCTCGCTTGATGCAAAGACTCCTTAAAAAGTTATGTATATGCAAAAACCGATGGTATATGTCCGTAGCTAGTACGTGTCCGCTTCATTTTTCTTACCCGAACGTAGATCGAATATCACGCGCGGAGTACGAGGAATTCCAGTTCCCATAAACCTCCTAGTGGCGTCATGCCGCTCACGCGCGTAATCGTCCGACGCTGACTTAGGCCTTAGAATTCTGAATACGAACATGAGAGGCGCTGACGTCGCATATGAGGGCATCCACGGCTTTTTCTGCCACCAGGGCGGCGCCACTAAGGAATGAGGTGAAACTTTTGACAATTTTCATAGCGCGGGAAGTTAGTTTGTTAGGAAAATGTAACAGTTAGTGTGTGTTTATGCAATATTAGTTATATTTTATATTAATTAGATTATCAATTAATAAATCAAACTACGAATATTCCTTAAAGTAGAAAAATTAAAAAAGGTGAAAAATATTAACGAGCAAACCAATGAGGCATTGTTTTTTTATTCATATAATATACTCTAGAAAGCGATAGACTTTTATTTGAAACGCAACTTCTCAATTAAATTACATTGTGTATCAAATATCTTCACCTCAGTCCCAACTAGCGACATCTGGTGAACGGAAGATTATTAGCCCTCGTTCGTACGCCGTTGCCGAATGATTGCGACGCTTACGGGCGTGCGTGAACCATCCCGCTCCCCTCCCCTCGCCCCCGTTCCCTCTCCTCGTGTTCCCGCGTAACAGTGCTCTCACTGCAGGTGGCGACGAGTGGCCCAGCACGCCGCCCCCGCTAAATAACAACACCACGCACCACAACAACAACGGCCCGCTGCAGCTGCCTTTGCCGCCGCCGAGTCCCTTCCGCTTCGAGGAGCACCGCCCCTACCGCTTCGCCGAGGACATGGGCCCCCTACCACCAGGCGCGCTCGTCGGACGACTGGGAGACTCCCTGATCCCCAAAGGAGACCCGATGGAGGCGAGGCTGCAGGAGATGCTGCGATATAACATGGACAAATACGCGAATACGAATCTCGACACGCTGCATATAAGCCGGAGAGTAAGAGAACTGCTGTCGGTCCACAATATAGGCCAGCGGTTGTTTGCGAAGTACGTCCTTGGACTATCGCAAGGTACGGTGTCGGAGTTACTATCCAAACCAAAGCCTTGGGATAAGCTGACTGAGAAAGGACGAGATTCGTATAGAAAAATGCATGCGTGGGCCTGCGATGAGGCCGCCATTATGCTACTGAAGTCCCTCATTCCCAAAAAAGGTACTGACATTATTCTCATACGCTTTCCGAATGAGCTTCCACCACAGAAACCTTCGTCTATTAAATAGTTTAAAATCAATATTTCATTCAAATTTATTTATAATGTCAGTCCTTATACTAACAATGTTAAACATACAAGCGAAGGCTTATTGGAAGCAGCTCATTCTGCCGCATGTTTTGACACCGGAACATTACGTTCCATCAATTCTGCCCCTCGAGTCAATCTTCCGAACGGCTTGGCACGCCAGCCGTTATCAGCGCTTGTCAAGTCATAGGCCCCATCAATCACGAGAGGAGCCCAGTGATAGCTAAAGCGTTCACGGGGGCAATTAACCGGGTGCGTACAATGGATATTTTTGGTCGGGAACTTCGAAACAATTATGTATTTTGGCGCTTAATTCGTTGCTCCATTTGATGGTTTTAAAGAGACAACTTCCGAACCATCGATCGTAAATTTTCTGATCATAATTTTGTCACTGGCAACATTGCCATCACTTTAAATGTAGTTAAAACAGATTTGTTCAATAATTTTATAAATTCTTACTACACCTACCTAATCATAATTCAAAAGTAACTACAAATAATTATCCACATTATAATAAATTATTGAGCAATTTTGTGAGTTTAATTTTCACAATTATGTATATTTTTGAACGCTTCCAAATTATTATTTTTTTTAATTTTGTCGCGCGACGTAATGCTTGTAGGAAAACAAATACTACCACTTACTAACCATTTTTAAATACAGCAGGATAAATCGTTAAGATCAAAACTCCAAAGCCACGTTACAATTCACTATCACTGACTTTAAATATTTGCAAATCTAATTCCGCACTTATTTTAGTTTTAACGAATGTTTTTTGTTTGCTCCTGACCTCGTCCCGATTCCTGACCACCTTACTATATATCCTTTATCCTGTCGCGTGCGGAAGCTGAGGGACTCCTCCTTGACCTTGTTTTAAGTGGGGGTTAGGCGGAAGTCGAGGATAGAACAAGGTCGAACCAGCGCCCTAATCGCGGTAATTCCAAACTTGTTAGTTTCATTTTGTCTTTTTATTGATTGATATCTTTCATTTTTTATTTTGTCTTTTATTTCAATGAAATATTTAAAGTTCCATTTAAAATTAACTTTTTATTATGAAATTTAAAGAATGATTTAATAAAATCACGTCACGATGATGATGAAAATAATTTTAACTTTAAATATTCGTTTGCGTTTAATTTTGATATTGATTTTTAAACAGTTGCAGTTATAACTACTAGAGATCTATATAAAAAGTTAAAACTATCAAAGTCTAGCTCAGAGAATCATGATTCGCTTGGTAATTTTTCTTAACTCTGGGAATCTATAATAGAGATTATCAAAAGAGCAATGAAAAAGGAAGCGCACACGCACTTAGCCGGCCGTATACACTGCAGCCATTACGTGTAGCAGTTTCTTAAATAGGTAAAGATGGAAATTGCTTTCAATAGATACATCCTACGGAATTACGATATAATTTAGCTTTTTAGTATGTGCTTCCTAGCTGCCAGAATATCTTTAACGTCGTTTTTTTGTTGTTTTTTTTTAATCCATAAACAGACCATCCCGAGACCCTTATTTTTATTTTATTTCTTTTTTGTGTTTTCATTAACAATTGTTTCCACTCTTCGAGTAGAAATTGCACTGAAAACGCGCAATAAAAACGCGAACGGGCGAAATTGGGAGAAATTAAAAAGAAAAGTAAAGCAGCGTACATATTAATGACAAAACGCGATGTATAAATCGCGGAAGACAATAGCACTGCGAACATTAGCCCCCCTGGAACAATGTCCATCGATGGGACTCCGCCCGGATTGAATCTGAGATAGCGTCGGAAGGGTTGGCTGTTTCTTATTTCGGGCGATACAAAGCCTTTGTTTACTCGAAAAGAAACCGAGAAACGTTTGATGCAGCCATTTCATTAGACGTTGTGGAGGAAATTTCGCAATGTGAGTTTAGGAAATTGTCTGCAACTAGCAGGCCTTAAGCCCTATTCTTATATTAAAAAACGTACAATTAATGAATAGTTCTCGAAATTAGTTTTAATAATAATAAATTAAAAAGATCAAACTACAATTGTAACAATTTAACATGATAAAATATAAAAGTATATAATATATGAAGCTATGCTTGGAGCGTTTAGATAGAATACGTAATGAAGATATTCGCAGCCAGTAGAACCTGAACAACCGAAATAGTGCAACACCTCTATAATAAATCCGAAATGCCTAGGATAGAGAACCGTCTTAAATGTTTTCATACAAGAAGCACACAGCTTATAAATTAAAATAATCACGACGTTTCCGTATTTATATACAGTGTCCGATAAAAGAAGGATGGATGGTGACCATAATGGCCGGTAATGAGAGGGCGGACGGTCGCGCAACAACGTCACGTCGTGGGAACCGTCGCCGATACCGTTCTTTCTTTGTATGTTTCGATAATAAGACGATGCGGAACCCTAATTATTTTGCTAACCAATCTACCAACGTACCACTACCTATTCTTTCAATTTAAATTGACGTGTTCATAGTAGTGAAAATCTTAATTTGAAATTTGTATCATTTTAATTTTATTATTTTTTTATTGAGTACAAGATAATTTCTTCGTGCCAGTAAGGATTAATACTCTGACCTTTGTAATAGTTTTTTTTATTTTTCGGCCTGTTCGAAATGTAAAAAGCACATAATATACGAGTGACAACCAGCGTCTAATTTGTTACTCTTAGATTTTTCGACGCAAATATAGAATACGTTTCTGTTAAGCTTGGTATGATTAAATCCGTACTTAACCGAAGCTCCACTTTCGCCATACGGGACATAAAAGCATTGACGCAAAACTACAATCACCCACTGCAAATCGCCGCCCGCTACCACAAGCGTGTCAATTCAACGCTGAGCGTTTCCACAATTTCCCAGTTCCCACGCAAACAACGCGTGCCCTCGTGTCGTGCGTCTAGTGGAACACTCTCACGCTGTTCCTCATACTGGACTTTTATTTAAATATAAGTTTTAAATATCTGTTGTATCTATTTTTGAATCAATTCGTAAATGTTATCGCAATCAATTTATCGCAAAATACCTTCGTAAAATAGCAGCATATAACATATATACAGTGTTTCGTCAATGGTTAGAATTACAAACCCTTTATTCTGGAAACGTTCCATCTTAATTTCCACCTTAACCTTTAAGGGTGGCAAAGCATCCTCTTTTATATTCTTAATTCACTTATCATCAAGTGGACTGTCTGCTGTCAAGTTTTTTTTATGGAAGAGGGGGCAAACGTGCATGCGGCTCACCTGATTGTAAGTGACTACCGCCGCCCATGAACAACCGCAACACCAGGGGAATTGCAGATGCGTTGCCGGCCTTTTAGAAAGGTGTAAGCTCTTTTCTTGAAGGTTCCTAAGTCGTATCGGTACGGAAATATCGCTGGTGGTGATGGATTCCATAAAGAAGGTGTGCGAGGGGAGTAAGTGTTGTCACCCTTATAAAAAAGTTCGCATTTTTAATTAAAACATTGCTTGCACTGGGTTTTAATTGAAACTTATCTTTATTCTTAATAGAACAACGAAAAATTTCAATGATTATAACTGAGAATGGACTGATTGATCACCAATAAATTCTATTATTTCATCACCGAAGTTTTAATTTGACTTCGGATTCGGATTACCAATTATTGTTCTATATGAATAATATAAAACAGTATTTGTGTGCCGTGTGGAATCAGTCAGTTACCACAATTCGACACGTACGTGCCGTATAGACGACTATGAAATTAACTAACAGTGGTAGAGCCACGCGGCAGCTTTTGCTGTCGCACGGATGGGCCGGCTCGAACCGGGGTGGTACCACCACCTCACAGAAAACCAGCGTGAAGTAGAGGTTTACCTCTGCGTTTCGCTTGGTGAGTGCATGAGGCATTCCATCTTAGTCCTCACGAGTGACAACGCATCTACATTTTGATTTTTAATAGAGGATAGATGTAGATGTCTATGGACCGCAGCAACCACTTACCATCAGGTGGACTGTGTGCTCGTTTGTCACCCTTATCCTATAAAAAAAAATGAGGAAATAGATTAAAACTGCTATGCCCCAGGTGTTACAGTTGTTCATGGGCGGCGGTCGGCACAAATGAGCCGCATGCTCGTTTGCCCCCCTCTTATATAAAAAAAAATATAGTCCCATAGTTATCAATAAATGTTGATATAAGATTGTTCACACCATGTGTGAGAGTGATTTTAAAGATGTGAAACATATGGTACTGCAATTCCTAATCCAACTGCCAAGAGTGGCGATATGGACAAATTCTCATGCCTAGTTGTGGACTTTTAGAGACTGATGAATAAGAGTGTTTATCTGTTTATTTTTCCTATTTACCGTTACAGCCTATTAAAGTCCACTGCTGAACATTGGCCTACCACTCACATCACATATCGCCACACTTAGCATCCGCTTAGAAACCACATGTTGGCAACCGAAGTTTTTTTTTATTTTTAGTCGTTATTAGAAAAACGCTGCTGCCCATCTCCTGATTTGCTTCCCTCTGTCGCATCTTACGACACACATGGGATGATATGACGTAGTGGATATTCTTACACCGCCACTACACGTTTATAACTATTTAAGTACTCTATTATATTTTTTAGTTTGTTGCAAAAACCGATCATTATATTTTATTCTTGCTCCAAGGTTAACCATACGGAAAATGTTTACCACCAATACCGGCTTTTCTAAGTGAAGCGTACAATAAAAGAAAAAATAAATAAATTCAATTAAGAGTATTATTATCGAAGATATAAATCAACAAATGTATTACTGACTAACACTTCCACGTCGTCTCAACAATAAATCAAATATTAACAACGTTCCAAAACGCGTATAAGGCACGCGTTGTATATCGCACTTAGATATTCGCCCATTGTATCTAACGAGAGCAAAGATGCAAGAAAAACTGCAAAAAAGGCATCTATTAATTA